GGAGTCAAATTCAGAACAAGTTTGAGAAGCACTCCTCTACAAAGCATAAGTCAGGACTGTGATGGAATGCTCCCCACTTAGGTGGTTGGGTGCACTCCAATGACACTCGAAGCTTGACACCATCCAGTATAAAGTTCCTGCTTGATTGACACTCTATTCACCATTATCGCCATTTACTTTGTCCACCACCACTGATGCACAGTGGTAGCAGTGTGTACCATTTAGAAAATGCACTGCAGTAATTCGTTGAGACTCCCCTGGCAGCACCTTCCAAATCTGCAACCTCGACCGTCTAGACGGACAAGGGCAACAGACACGTGGAAGTGCCATCATATAGAAGTTGCTCACCATCATGACTTGAAGCTATATCCCTGTTTCTTTACTGTTGCTGTGTCAAAATAGTGGCACTCTCTTTTGTGGCAGCACTGTGTGCATGACCCTAAACCCCCAGTCTTAGAAGCTAGCTCAGCACCACCCTCGCCAGGGCGATTTTGGGAAGGCAAAATAAATACTAGCCCTGCTAGAAACATCTACGTCACTTGAATGACTTAAAACTAAATTTGGAGATTCATGGTGTGCTGTGGCTCTTAATGTATTTGTGGGCTGTAAAATTGCATTTCATGGGGCTTAAATGTCCACATGTAAAGCACTTATCAATATTTATTTCAAATTAATTCACAAGTGAAGTGCTGAGTCAAAGAACAGCCCTTTCCAAACTGCCTTGTTTGAACTGAATGGATCTGACAATCTAGCATTTTTTTAAATTCACTTAAATGGTTTGAACATCACTGGCTGGCCAGCATTTATTGCCTGCTGCTAATTGACCTTGAGAAGGCGATGGTGAGCTGCCTTCCATGTTCTGTGGGTCGACCCACAATGCGAAAGCAGAATACTGTGGATGGAGAGAAAAAAAATACTGAAATGGAAGTAAATTTGGTGAAACACTCCTGAGAACATGCCAAAACTGTGGACATATAAACAGACTTAACATTTCAGGAACTGTTTCATCAGAAATAGTTGATGCCAATCAGAACTAAATTACTTCAGATTCAATCCAGATTGTCAGGCTCAGAGGTCACATTGTACACCCTCTGCTTACTGGTTTGACTGCAAGCGGGTGATAGATTTGTGGATTGTTATCATGTTGCAAGAGATCTTTTTGGTTAATCTTTGCCAGCATAAGTGCATGCATTTCATGTTGTATATCATAACATTTTACTCACTCGTTCAAATTCCTCCCTACGTAAACTGCCTTCAGTACTTTAATACATAAGCCAATACTGCAAAATTTTAATCCCCCCGGTATGAATTCAACACTTCTGCCCTACCCATTGTATTATACCAGGGGTGGGAAGTTGGGTGTGACAATGACATAGTGATAATGTCACTGGATTAATAATCCACAGTGTTGTCTTTTCTTTGGACACTTCGGCCAGTTTTATGCAATAAACAGACTTTGCCCAAATGGTCTTGTCAGTGAGGTGGACAAAGAAACACAAAACAGTTTGCAGCTCAACTTGATTTTATTAACAAAATACTCCTTTGTAAAAACATGGTGGCGCCAAAATCTTAGAATTCCCTCCCTCTCACAGCATTGTGAGTGTACCTACACAAAATGGACTACAGGACTTCAAGATGACAGCACATCACCCTTCTCACAGGAAACTAGCGATAGGCAATAAATGCTGGCCTAGCCAAAATCCAATCAATCAGCGGTATTCGAAATTGAAAGGGATTCCACTTCATTAATGTTCATTTGTTGCGACAACACCAAGATCCTGGGACAGGCTAGGCAGAGACAAGCACGAGAATTCCTGGAAGCATGGCACTCCATGAAGCATGCTATTAGTAAACACATTGAACTCGACCCCATATACATTCCACTACGGAGGAAACCTGGAAGTGAGGCAATCCATCTCAACGGACCCCAGAGTTTAAAAACCAGGCGGGAAAACACACCAACACTTCATCAGAGGCTGCACTGAGGATGTCACCAAGCACGATAATGAAACGTCTGCGGAACAACAAACCAGCTTGGCGAGCCAACCAACCTCAACGTTCACTTGAGTTTTTTTAAGTTCTTTCATGTGATGTGGGCATCATTGCTGAAGCCAGCGTTTATTGCCCAGTTCCTCGTTGCATCTGTCAATGTGGTGGCAAGCTGCCATCTTCAACTGCTGAAATCCATGTGGTGTAGACATGCTCACCACTCACTTCAGAGGAGTTTGAGGATTTTGCCTCAGCAATGGTGAAAAACTGGTGATATAGGTTCAAGTAATCTTGACCAATTGGGGAAGTTACAGGTGCTGGTGTTCGTATGTGTCTGCTGCCCTTGTTCTTCCGGGGTTTGAGGTCATGGGTTTGGAAGCTGCTGCCAAAGGAGCCCTGGTGATTTGCTGCAGTGCACCTTGCAGATATATATTAATAGTCTAGATCTTGGTGTCCACAGGAAAATTTCAAAGTGGATGATATAAAATTTGGAAGCATTGTGAAATTTGAGGAGGATAAGGTAAAACTTAAAGGGCAGAGACAATTTGATGGAGTTAGTAGAGAGGTGTCAGATGAGTGGGAGGGGTGAGTGATATATTTTTGTAGGAAGAACATGGAGAAACTATATAATATAAAGAGTTCAATTCTAAAGGGGATGCAGGAGCAGAGGTACCCAGGTGTCTATGTATAGAGGTGGCAGGACAAGTGGACAAATCAGTTAATAAAGCGTATGTTGTACTGGGCTTTGTTAATAGAGGAAAAATGTGTACAAGTGAAGGGAGTTTATGTTGAACCTATATAAGACATTGCTTACATCTCAGCTGGAGTACTGTATATTGTTCTGGGTTCCACAGTTTTGGATGTGAACACACTGGGTAGAGTGCAGAAGTGGTCGATAAGAATCGTTTCAGGATTGAGAAACTTCAGCTTTGAAGATAGAGAAAAGGATCAACTTCTCCAATCTTTTTAACGAAGGCTGAAAGGCAATTTGATACAAATTTTCAAACTTAACACAGCTGGACAGAGTAGATGGGGGAAAATATGTTTCTGCTTGTAAAAGAATTGAGAATGAGTGAATGCAATTTTAAAATAATATGCAAAAGAAACAAAATTCTTGTCAATAGTGGCCAGTCTTTGGGGAGTCAGGAGGTGAGTTACACTCTGTAGAATTCACAGCCTCTGATCTGCTCTTATTTGCTGGCTACTGCAGTTCAGTTTCTGTTAAGCGGATGAGGGTTTCAGTGGAGGGGGACTGGTTGGAGGGAGAAGCGACAATGACAGAGACAATGGTTTGACTGGGACAGTCAGATTTGTGGATTTTGGGAAGGAGACAGAACCAGGTGGTGTGCGGTTGGAGGCTGAGGGTGGGAGGTCTCCTGAGGTGATAGGTTATGGATGATCTGAGGGATGACTGTCTGGTGATCAGGGGTGGGATCATAATCGAGGGGCAATAAGAAGAGGTGTCAGAGTTGGTGCCTGGCCTCCGTGATGTCAGCATGCCATAGCACTACTGTACCCCCCCCCTCCCCCCTTCTTTGCAGGTTTGGTGGGGAGGTTGGGGTGGGACTGGAGGGCTGTGTATTCCGATGGGGAGAGGTTGGAGTGAGTGAGGGCGGATGGAGAGATTGATGCGATTTGAGGTTGCTTTATAGCAATGGGAGTCATCCCATTTCTCTGCATTTTGCCCATATCCCTCTAAACCTTTCCTACTCATTTACTTGTCCAAATGTCTTTTAAATGTTGTAACTATACCTGCACCTATCACTTTCTCAGGCAGTTCATTCCACATACGACGCACCCTCTGTGTGAAAAGGTTGCCTGTGACGTCCCTTTTAAATCCTTCTCCTCTCACCTCCATTCTCCTATTAAACGTCCACCAGTTATCTCTCTCTAATGAGAGAGCAGCTGTAGAGTCTGGTCGGACTAAGGTGACTTTACTTTTACCTTCTTATATCATTGTGATTTGTTAGATTCATGCTGTTGACCCATTACTCCACGTTTTTTGGCCATGCTTGCTTGGTTGCTGAGGAAAAATTATTTCTCTCATCTGTTGGGAACATAATCAGTCTGTTTGCTCTTATAGTTTGAAGTATGAACACCAAATATGCATCAAGGAACCATGGGACCGGCTTCCCTTATGGAAAATCTACCTACTTGAGTACCTGTCTCTCACTCTTTCTGCAGTTCTACAGTAGCACCATCCTGACTCTCATAGTCACCTTTTAATGAGTATGTCTTCAACTTTTAGGTTTTTTAAAGTCAGTTATGGGATGTGGATGATGCTAGTTCGAGGAATATACAGGTTTAACACCTATGTTGGACTATTTCAAACATAAACACCCCACAACAGGTATTAAGATTATCAGGATCTGAAGCCTGAAACGCTCTATAGTATGGAATCCTAGATGCACAGTTAGTGTTTTCTTCAGAATCCACACATGGATGATGGACATTTAGTCATTTTTTTCTTTTTCAAAAAAAAAGGAAGCATTGCACAAGGAGGACCTATGCATTAACTGAGCCTTTCCTGAATTGTGACTTCAGTCCGTGACTGTTTTAAGTGTAGGGGCTAAAAAGTAATTAATTACCCCACAACCCTGCCCGTTCATTCATTTGAGCTGTCTACCAGCATTTATAATCTACTAGGGCATTGGTTAGGAATGCCTGTTCTAGATCTATCTCTGTTGGGCGTGGCATACTGAAGGTGCATCACCTTGTTCCAATATCTCTGCTTATATACTTCATCTCACACATGGACATTGCGCATTGGGGTGAAAAGTAGAGCCACCTGTGTCATCTCAAGCTAACAGTTCTTGAAGCCAGTGTATAAGTATGGGTTGGAATTTGCCTATCCACTTGGAAAGTAACTGAATAGCAAAAACGTTAATGCAAAAAGTCAAATTTCTCCCACTAATAAATACTTGCAAGATATTTCAGAATATTGATAATTGCCTCAGTATCTGTTAATATTTCGAATAGTAAAGGTTGCAATATATCTTTATTGTTGACAGAACTAAAGCAAAATGGCCGTTCGTTCTCCTCGACATGCACGCAGCAAATCAGAAGGAACACTAATTGACCTGGATGAAAACCCATCAACAAATAACATATTTTTAAAAGGTATTGAGAAATCGTCTAAACTGTTGCTTCAGTTCTGGTTTATTTCAGGTTTTGTTCGTGGATATGTCCACTTTTGATTGACTAAACACTTAGCAATGAAATTTATGTGGTTTGTCTGTTTTACAGCCTCAAGTCATACTTGAGTTGGAGTTTGAAAGCCTACGTCTAGTTGGCTTGCACTCCTGCTCACCACTACTGTTCCTATCCATACCACAAAGCTCATGATCTATATGCTAATGCCCAATTTTGATCAGACGTCATATCTTCCTGTTCTAGTGCATAGATCACCCTTAATGACTAGATTGCACAAGCAGGTCAATACTATGCAATGTCTATTCTAGATGTTTGAAAATAAAAATATGCTAATCATTACTAAAGAATGGCAGTCTTTCCTAAATCTTAATTCTTTTGCCTAGGGTTTATTTTTTTGCTTTTGCTCTTTCAGAATTTATTGACCACTTTTTCTTTCTTTAATTCTCTATAGATAGCAGCTACCGAGATGTTTCATATGGACTGGAGACAGATTTGCTGAAAGATTGGAATGAAGTGGTATTTGATCATTCTAGCCATACAGTTTCTGAACCCACAAATCCATTTTGGAATGGTTTGTCAGGATCAAACCCATTCTTAGATGAGATTACCAAAATAGGTGAGAATAAGACACCAAATCCAGAATCTGTGTTAAAGGACGACCCGCTGCTGCTATTTGAAGATTCAAGACCTGCTGAATCTGGCTCTTCAGCTGATGAATTGGATATTAATCACCTAATCTATATTGGAAAACCTTTTGCAAAACAACCTGGAAGGTGGAAAAGTGCTTCTGACATTTTGGATTTTTCAAACAAAGAAGTTGTTCCTCAGAATAATCGTCCAGTGAGTCAATTTATGGTTCCCAATTTGGAGTCATTTCAGAATGATAGAGAAGCCTACAAAATGGCATGGCTGAGCCATAGACAACTAACTAGATCTTGTCTCGATTTGGACATGATAAGCCAAAACCCTGGTTGGGGGCAGACACAAGCTATTGAAACCCACATTGTTTGTAAAATTGACCATAAAGGGGGATCACTTCAGTTGCCTGAATCAGATATAAGTGTCCACGTACCTGAAGGTCATGTTTTGCCAGGTGAAATTCAGGAAGTGGCTGTAAAGTCGTTGCTTGACCCACCTCAGGTACTCAATAATGATCTTTGCACAACTATTGGTCCATTACTGGAACTGAAACTGAGCCATTTAAAGACCCAAGATTTTATTTCTTTGGAAATGAAGGTGACCGCTGAAGTGAAAACTGATCCTATGAGTCAGGTTATGACTGAAATTGTGTGCCTTTGCAGTGATGCAAAGGAGGGCCCTTTTGAGAAGGTGCATGACATTTACATATATAAAGATGTTATGCAGGTAACACTGAAAAAATTGAGTCCTTGTATGTATATTGTAGCAGCAGTTCAAGCTAAAAGCATTCAGCCTCCTGCATCGACAGTGTGGGACTACCTGAATAAAGTGATGACCTTTGGAGTTTATGGTCCCAAACATATTCATCCAGTTTTTACTGCAGTTTGTGTAATCTTTAGCCACAATCAAGTTCCACAAAATCTTACAGATGTTAACAAAAACAAAAGAAATTTACCACCAGTTGTTCTTCAACTTTGGGGAAAACATCAGTTTCAGTTAGATAGGCCAGAAGATTTTGAAATTTCAATTTTTCCTATTGACTCAAGGTACGAAGTACAAGTCGTTGATCAGAATGAAAAGATTAAAAAAAGTTTGTTAAAACTAGGTCGAACAGTTCGGCAGCCTTTTACTTTGTCCATGTGCAAATCCGGAGAGATTAATCCATTTCAACTCGAAATTCAAGTTGCAGGAGCCAACCGTGATGTAATAACAAAATTCAGTGTCCAGACGCCCATGCCAGCACCCAAATCAAATGTGAGAAGACGTTTGCAGAGATGGAAAGAACCCACAATAGCTGCACCTCCAAGTGAAACATCACCACCAGTTAACTATCCCTCATTTCAAGAGAGGCCTGTAAATATTCTTAAATATGGAGTGGCTCTGAAAACTGTGTTGAGGCAGCCAAAGATTGAATACTTACTGGAATATTTTAAAGGTGACACAGTAGCACTTCTTGGAATGGACAAAGTTAAAGCCATTGGTCAAACAAGGATCAAAGAGTGGTACGTTGGTTTCATACGAGGAAAAATTGGCCTTGTACACTGCAAAAATGTGAAGGTGATTTCTAAGGAACAGGTCATGGACTTTTCAGATGTAAAGATTACAACCAAGATACTCCTGCACCAAATTATGATTCCATTTAAGAAGTTGACATATATGTATTCATCCATCCGTAAACTCATAACTGAGAATATTTCTAATTGGAAAGCGTTTGCTGGGGTGCTTGGATACACTGACCTCTCACTGGATAAAGTCTGCAGGAGACCTGCTGAAAGTGAATCAGAACGTGTTGCATGTATATTAGAGAAGCTGAAAGAAGACTGCCACAGTGGTGACAATAGGATGAAAAGAAAATTCCTGTACGATGTTGTTCTGGTAAGTAGCCTTGATAAGGCAGTCCATTTGATACAGTAGTGTGGAGGTAGCTTACTGCATTACCACTTCGTTCTTTTGATGCAATGTTAATCTGAGATCTGTCTGTCTGTTCATTGATTCAGGTTACATTAGAAATTAGGTGGCAGGGAAATCTGATATCTTCATTTACCAAAACTATTTTGCCAAAAATTAATTTTTATTAGGTTATTAATTTCATTACTGTCTGTGAGATGAGTGGAAGATGACAACTACATGCTCCCATGTAAGGATGCCTACATTTCAGTCTGTTGGGTTACATAGAGATACAAGAGTATACTTTTCTATGTAAGCTTGCTTTTGTTTGGTGGGAAGAATAGACATTTTGGTCTGCATTTTAAGGAACTACAGTATTGACCACTTCCCAGACCCACTCAATTTTGAGGCTAGCAGGAGAATTTAAGGGACAAGGTTTGGAAGAACAGCTGGCACCCTGCTGTGGCCTGGGGTGGGAAGGCGTGGAGTGGAGCACCTCTTTCTACATCTGGGATCTCAGTATTTCTAATCCTGGTCATTGTTGGACAATCTGGCCAGCTGATCTCTGGGGTGGAAGTCCTGTTTCCAGCCCATTCTGACAGTGGAACAATTGTGTTAATATTGCACTGATCCCTCTCATTTCAGAACAAGAAACCCTCCTCTTTTCCCTGGTTTTTGTGTAAATTTCTGTGAAGTGGAATAGTTTTAGACCAAATCTTGCTCCAAAACTGAGCATCTGAGAGGTAGGAGCTGACTAAAGTATCCAACAGCAAACCTCAAAAGGCCAACACGGACCTCACGCTATCATTAACATCAAGTTAAGGGACCAGATAGTGTAGGAGAACATGCTTAATCATCTCCAAACATACCTAAAAATGAGGGGCAAATCTGGTGCTGCCCCAGTCCAGGAGTAGAAGTATGCTAAATACCAGTAGCCATGTGTTGTAGACAGAACTCAGTGATCCTACAATCGTTGATCAAAGTTTTGCAGTTCTACCACTTCCAGTCATGAATGGTGATGGGCAACTAACTGAAAGAGGAACAGACTACACAAACATCCCCATCTACAATAATGGTAGAGCCCATATTATCAGTACAAAAGATAGGGCTGAAGTATTTGGAACCATCTTCAGACAGAAGTGTCAAATGGCTGATCCATCTCTGCCTACTAGGTTATTAGCCTAGTGTTCAGCCAGCTGCATTCTGGTTTCTATGCTGTCGAAATGAGATGAAATTTCTTGATCCAGTAAAGGCTTTGTGCCCTGTCAACAACCTAGTTACACCCTGAAAGACTGGTGTTCCAGAACTACCACACTCCTAGCCAAATTGTCTCAATACAACTACAATATTGACATCTACCTGGCATTGTTTGAAATTGTCCATAAATCCAAATATGTCAGTTACTTTCCAAGTCAGCCTCTGTTATGAACAAAGCGATGGAAGGTTTCACTTAAAGTGCTATCACAGCAATAACGTGTTCACCAATGCTAAATTTGGGTTCCAGTCGGAGCCACATACTTCCAGACCTCATTACAGCCTTGGTCTAGACATGGGCAAAAGTGCTGAATTGAAATTGACTGCTTTGACATTAAGGTGGCATTTGACTGGGTGTGGCATAAAGGAGCCCCTGAAAAATTGAAGCCAAGGAAATCGAGAGCAGAAATGGGGAAACTCCACTGAGTGGAATCATACCAATCAGAAAGCAAGATGTTGTCTTTTGGAGCTAATTTCTGCCCTAAGACACTACTGCAGAATCTTTTCAAGAAAATGCCCTCTACCCAACCATTTTCAGTTGCTTCAACAATGATTTTCCTTCTCTCATAAGTGAGAAATTAGTAGTTGTAACAGTGTGTGCAGTAACTTAGGTCAAAATACAGCTTCGAGCTGATATGTGGCAAATGAGTGCTGTTTAAGTTCTAAGCAATGACATCTCCAACAGGAGAGTCTAGCCATCTCCTTGAATGTTCAATGGCATCACCATCTCTGAATCAGTCACTACCAAAATCTTTAGGATTATCATTGACCATAACCTTAAAAGGACCACCTAGATTAATATTATGGCTACAGGAGCAGGTTAGATGTTGGGTAACACACCACCTGACTTGCCAGAATCTTCCACCACCTATTAAGCGCAAGGAAGGAATGTAGTAGCATGCTTTTAACTGGCCTAGATGAGGCATCTCCAAACAATACAATAATCTTGACACCGTCCAGGGCAAAACAGTCTGCTTGATTGCTAACCATCTTTAACATTCAATTCCACCACCACTGGTGCACACTGGCAACAGTCTGTATCTTCTGCAAGAAGCACTGCAGCAGTCCACCAAAGCTCCTTTGACAGCACTTTCCAAATATGTGACCTCTACCAACCAGAAGATCAAGAGCAGTAGATGTTTGACAGTACGGTGTTTTGCTCCCCGTTTTGAGATGTATTTGCACTGGGGTAGTTCAGAGAAGATTCACAAGATTGATTTTGTTGGTTGAAGGCATTGCCTTATCAGTGGTTAAGCGGGTTAGGCCTTTACTCATTGCAGTTTAGAAGAATGAGAGGTGGTGGTCTTGGCAGAGTTTGACAGGGTAGATACTGAGGGGATGATTTTCCTTAGCAGATTGCTGTACTTGCACACATTAGGGCTGAAATTCAGGTAAAAAAATATAAGAGCAAATAGGGTGTTATCATTCATTGCATGGTGTATTGAATATAAAAGATAGTGTGGTTATGCATCATTTGCGCAGGGCATGTGGGAGACAGAATGTGCAGTACTGGCTATCTTATTTAAGGAAGGTTGTGCTAGAAGCAGTACGTGTTTTATCAGATGAATACTTGAAATGGGTTGGTTGTTTTATGAAGAAAGGTTGGTCAAACCAGATTGTATGTACTGTAACTTAGAGTGAGAAGCAGCTTGATTGAAACACAAGATCCCGAGGGGTCTTGACAGACAGGATGTGGAAATCCTGTTTCCTCTTGTGGGAGAATCTAGAGCTAGAAGTAATTTATGGCTTAAAGCTAAGTGGTTGCTATTTAAAACAGATTAGGATAAATCTGTTTCTCACAGAGGATCATATATCTTTTGATTTCTTCTACAGAAGTCTTTGCTTTAAGTATAATCAAAGACTGTATAATCAATGATAGGGAGTAGGGTCAAGTGGCCTACTTCTGCTCTTAATTTGTAAGCTAGTATACAATTCCCAAATAAGGAATTGTACATTTAAGATGGTGAGGAATTTCCTCTCTGAGAATTAGGAATCTTTGGAATTTTCTATTCCAAAGAGGCTGAATCATTTAATATACTGTATTCAATGTAGAGATTGACTGACAGGTTTTTGAGCTACTGGGTTATGAGAAACCGGCAAGAAAGTGGAGCTGATGCCAAAATAACTGCAGCAATGATCTTACAGAATCATGGAACAATCTCAGTGACCTATGCTGGCTCCTATTTCTTATGTTATGTTATGGGAACACCACAAGCTGCAAGTTCACTTCGAAATTACATGCCATTTTGGTTTGAAACTGTATGCCATCCTTCACTACTAATTGGTCAAAATAGGTGAGTTGGCAATATAGTGGTAATGCTAGCGGACAAGTAATCCAGAACTCTAGGCTAATGTTCAAATCACACTGTAGCACGTGGTGAAACTTGAATTCAATAACAGTGTAGAATAAAAGGCAGCTTAACAACATCTGTACCAATTGTTGTAAATACCTGTGTGTGGTTCATTAGTGACCTTTTTAGGGAAAGAAATGTGCTGTCCTTACCGGTTCTGGCCTACGTGAGATTCTCAACCCACAGCAAAGAGGTTGACTCTTAACTGCTGGAATGGACAAGAGGTGCTAGCCCACCCTGTGACACCAACAGCCCATGGACAAGTATGACAGCACATGAGATTGCAATTATTCATGAAGGCAGCTCGCTGCCGCTCCACTGCACACCATTTCTTCCAAATATTAAAATAACCTCTCAAATGCCTAAAATGAGCTGGCTTTCACATTTCCAGGCAATGCATTATACATCCTAATGTCTCGCTATGTGAAAAGGTTTTTTTTCTTTCACATCACTTTTGCTTCATTTGCACATCACTTTAAATCTGTGTCCTCTCATTCTAATATCATTTTATGAGCAGGAACAGCTTCTCTCCATCTGCTCTGTCCAGCCCACTCGTGATGTTGAAGACCTTTATCAGATCTCTGTCGTCATCTCACCAGGGAGAACAGTCCCACCTTCTTCAAACAAACCTGTGACCTCTACCAGTTAGAAGGACAAGAGGAGCAGATGCCTAGGAATACCACTATCTACAGGTTATCCTGCAAGCCACACACCATCTTGACTTAGAAGTATATTCACTCTGACTGACTGGGTCAAAATCCTGGAACTTTTCCACAGCACTGTGGTTCTCTTAACACACCAAGGACCATTGCCCATCCCCCACCCCACCAAACCTGTAAACACCCCACCGGCCCCCCCCACCCCCGCTTACCCATTTTTCCCCTCCGTGTCGTTGTTATTCCAGACCTCCCACCACCTTCCTCAGTACCCCACTTCCACAACTTTTCCTCCACTCCCCCTGTCCTTACTGCTGCACATGCCCCTCTGAATTCCATTTCAATAGACCATTTCTTTTCTGCACACATGCTGTGCCATTGCTTATGACATCATTGGAATTCTACATGATGACATAGCATTTCTGGAATTGGGCACATGCATGGTTTCCAGATTAACATGTGTAATGACAAATGACACTGGTGCCAGCAGACACTGTCTTTCCAAATACTGAATTTGCTTGTATGCTTTGCATCTGTGACGATAGCACCATGCATTTAAAGGAGCTGTTAATCAAGCACAACGTCGTCAGACGCTTCACAATCAAGCGCAATATAATGCTGAGCTAAATGAGATGTAAGGTCATGTGATAAATTGTTTGGCTAAAGAGATTGGAGGAGTAGAGTGATTTGTGGAGAGTTAAGGAGTAATTTCCAGATTTTGGGCCCA